ATTGTTTTCCTCTAGTTCTTTGCATTGATCACTGAGGAAGGCTTTCTTATGTCTCCTGGCTATTCTTTGGAACTCTGCATTCAAATGGGTATATCTTTCCTATTCTCCTTTGCTTTTCACTTCTCTTCTCTTCACAGCTATTTGTAAGGCCTCCTCAGACAGCCATTTTGCTTTTTTGCATTTCTTTTTTTGGGGGATGGTCTTGATCCCTGTCTTCTGTACAATGTCACGAACTTCCACCCATAATTCATCAGGCAATCTGTCTATCAGATCTAATCCCTTGAATCTATTTCTTACTTCCACTATATAATCATAAGGGATTTGATTTAAATAATACCTGAATGATCTAGTGGTTTTCCCTACTTTCTTCAATTTAAGTCTGAATTTGGCAATAAGGAATTCATGATCTGAGCCACAATCAACACCCGATCTGTTTTTGCCAACTGTATAGAGCTTCTCCATCTTTGGTTGCAAAGAATATAATCAATCTGATTTTGTTATCAACCATCTAGTGATGTCCATGTGTAGAGTCTTCTCTTGTGTTGTTGGAAGAGGGTGTTTGCTATGACCAGTGCGTTCTCTTGGCAAAACTCTATTAGCCTTTGACCTGCTTCATTCTGTACTCCAAGGCCAAATTTGGAAAACACAGCAGTGGCCACACGACTGGAAAGGTCAGTTTTCATTCCAATCCCAAAGAAAGGCAATGCCAAAGAATGCTCAAACTACCACACAGTTGCACTCATCTCACATGCTAGTAAAGTAATGCTCAAAATTCTCCAAGGCAGGCTTTAACCATGGTTTATGTTAACCATGAACTTCCAGATGTTCAAGCTGGACTTAGAAAAGGCAGAGGAACCAGAGATCAAATTGCCAACATCCGCTGGATCATCGAAAAAGCAAGAGAGTTCCAGAAAAACATCTATTTCTGCTTTATTGACTATGCCAAAGCCTTTGACTATGTGTATTACAACATACTGTGGAAAATTCTTAAAGAGATGGGAATACCAGACCACCTGACCTGTCTCTTGAAAAATCTGTATGCAGGTCAGGAAGCAACAGTTAGAACCGGACATGGAATTAGGGAAAGGAGTTCCAATTAGGGAAAGGAATATGTCACGGTTGTATATTGTCACCCTGCTTATTTAACTTATATGCAGAGTACATCATGAGAAACGCTGGGCTGGAGGAAGCACAAGCTGGAGTCAAGATTGCCGGGAGAAATATCAATAACCTCAGATACGCAGATGACACCACCCTTATGGCAGAAAGAAAGAACTAAAGAGTCTCTTGATGAAATTGAAAGAGGTGAGTAAAAAAGTTGGCTTAAAACTCAACATTCAGAAAACTAAGATCATGGCATCTGGTCCCATCACTTCATGGCAAATAGATGGGGAAACAGTGGAAACAGTGACAGACTATTTTTCTGGGCTCCAAAATCACTGCAGATGGTGATTGCAGCCATGAAATTAAAAGATGCTTACTCCTTGGAAGGAAAGTTATGACCAACCTAGACAGCATATTAAAAAGCAGAACCATTACTTTGCCAACAAAGGTCTGTCTAGTCAAGGCTATGGTTTTCCCCATAGTCATGTATGGATGTGAGAGTTGGACTATAAAGAAAGCTGAGCACCGAAGAATTGATGCTTTTGAACTGTGGTGCTGGAGAAGACTCTTGAGAGTCCCTTGGACTGCAAGGAGATCCAGCCAGTCCATCCTGAAGGAAAACAGTCCTGAGTGTTCATTGGAAGGACTGATGCTGAATCTGAAACTCCAATACATTGGTCACCTGATGCAAAGACCTGATTCATTAGGAAAAAACCTCCGATGCTGGGAAAGATTGAAGGTGGGAGGAGAAGGGGATGACAGAGGATGGATGAGATGGTTAGATGGCATCACTAACCCAGTGGACATGAGTTTGGGTAAACTCCGGGAGTTGGTGATGGACAGCGTGGCCTGGCATGCTCCCTGGAGTCCATGGGATCGCAAAGAGTCAGACACAACTGAGTGACTGAACTGAACCGATTCCCCTTTCTGATGATATTGTTATTTCTTGTAATTTTTTAAAAGTCAATTTGATTGAAGGTCTAGTGTACCTCCAATGCAGTAGTGTACAGCTCTATGAATTTTGATAAACATATACAATCTTATAAAATGTACTTATTTTTAATTGGACAATAATTGCTTTACAGTACTGTGTTGGTTTCTACCAAACTATATACAATCTTGTAGTCACAATAAAGATGTAGAACAGTTCCATTACTCTAAAAGTCTCCCTAGTGCATTTTTATACATCATCATCTCCTTCAATCATCCCCAGCCCCAGCAACCACTGACCTGCTTTCTGTTGCTTTTCCAAAATGTCATCCATATGAAATCACACAGGATGCAGCCTTTGAGCCTGTTGCTCTCACTAGGCACAATGCATTTGAGATACCTCCATATTGTTGAGTATGTCAATGTTCGGTTTGTTTTTATTTCTGAGCTATGTTTCATGATACAGATATACCATAGTTAGTTTATATCCATCACCAGTTGGAAGACACTGAGTCATTTGTAGCTGTGGCACTTGTGAATAAATCTGCTATTATCGCATACCAGCTTTTGTGTGGACATCAGTTTTTATTTCTCTTGAGTAAACATCTGTTGTTGTTCAGTTGATAAATCGTTTCCAACTTTTTGCTACTCCATGGACTGCAGCATACCAGGCTTCCCTGTCCTTCATTATCTCCTGGAGTTTGCTCAAACTCATGTCCATTGAGTAAGTGATGCCATCCAATCATATCATCCTCTGTTGCCCCCTTCTCCTCCTGCCCTCAATCTTTCCCAACATCAGGTTGTTTTTCAATGAGTTGGTTCTTCACATCAGCTGGTCAAAGTACTGGAGCTTCAGCTTCAGCATCAGTCCTTCCAATGAATATTCAGGGTTGATTTCCTTTAGGATTGACTGGTTGGATCTCCTTGTTGTCCAAGGGACTCTCAAGAGTCTTTTCCAGCACCACAGTTCAAAAGGCTCAGTTTTTTGGTGCTCAGCCTTCTTGATGGTCCAACTCTCACATCCATACATGATTACTGGAAAAACTATAGTTTTGACTATACAGACCTTTGTTGGCAAAGTAATGTCTCTGCCTTTTAAAACTCTTGTCTAGGTTTGTCATAGCTTTTCTTCCAAGGAGCAAGTGTCTTTTAATTTCATGGCTACAGTCGCCAACTGCAGTGATTTTGGAGCCCAAGAAAATGAAATCTGACACTGTTTCTATTTTTTCCCCATATTTGCCATGAAGTGATGGGACTGGATGCCATGATCTTAGTTTTCTGAATGTTGAGTTTTAAGCCAGCTTTTTCACTCTTCTCTTTCACCTTCATCAAGAGGCTTTTTAATTCCTTTTTGCTTTCTGCCATTTGGTTGGTATCATTTGCACATCTGAGGTTGTTGATATTTCTTCCAACAATCTTGATTCCAGCTTATGAAATTTTTATCTTTTGAGTAAGCATCTAGGAGTGGGACTACTGGGCTGTATGTAAGTGCATGTTTGACCTAATAAGTAGTTGCCAAACTGATTTCCAAAGTCACTATACCACTTTTTCTTCTACCACAGTATATGCAAACTCATTAGCATTTGGTATTATCATTGCTAGGTGTTTTTATTTCAGCCATTCCCATAGGTGTGTATAGATTTTTATCTATTGCAGAGTGACAATGAATATTCTTATACAAATATCCTTTGTAATTAGGTATAACTGTAAGATAGACTCTTAGAATTGAAGGGTCAAAGGATGTGAAAGGTTGATTATGTATTGCGAAAAAGACTTCTGAGAAGGTGGGGCCAGTTTACTTGTCTGCAAGCTAGGTATGGCAATACTTGTTTCCCCACATCCTCACCAACACAGTGTATTACCCAATATCCTCACATTTTTAAATGAAATTTTACTTTCAATAATTGCTCTATGGGTATCTCTCTCATAGGGCTGTTGGTGAGAACTTAAGCTCTTAGAGAAGTGCCTGCCACAGAGTGGCAATGCATGTTAAGTTATTATATGATTACTACTATTAATCACTATCATTTGCCTCTCTCTCTTGACTTCTTCATCAGTATATTCACAAATATGTTTCTCTGAAGAGCTCAAACATTCTAACTATGGAGTTGGTTAATCTTTATAAATCTCTTCAGGTGCTCGCTAGGATTTCAGGCACTGTGGGTGTTACAGAACAGGGAAGTGTGACCCAACAGGACCTTTCTAAGGTTACAGAACAGATCCATGTCCCACGAAGTCAAAATGAATTCAGTATGGAACAGGATTCCTCTAGGTTACAATAACTGTCAAGCTTTTTCTGACTGCCTCCCACTTCAAGAAATAACAGCAGGAACCAGAACACAAAATAGACCTGAAACAAAAGCTTTGAAAACAATACGTCTGTCTTCTATTCATCCCATTCCATTTCATTGAAAATATGTTCATTAGGTTATACTAATAGATTTCAAAATCAATTGTTGGGTTAAGACTAGTGATTAAGGGGCACTCTTCTGGGTCATAAATGTTGATCTTCCTGGCTATATAACTGGAATCATAGAACCTCACACTCAGTTTTGGGTACATTATTTCCATCTTCCTTCCTTCCTTCCTCTCTCTCTCTCTCTCTCTCTTTCTCGTCCTTCCTCTCTCTCTTCCTTTCTCTCTCTCTCTCTTTCTCTTCCTTTCTCTCTCTCTCTTCCTTCCTCTCTCTCTTTCTCTTCCTTCCTCTTTCTCTTCCTTTCTCTCTTTCTTTCTCTCTTTCTCTTCCTCTCTTTTTCTTTCTCTCTCTCTTTCTCTCTTTCTTTCTCTCTCTCCTTCTTTCTCTTCCTTTCTCTCTCTTCCTCTTTCTTTCTCTCTCGCTTTCTTTCTCCCTTTCTCTCTCTCTCTTTCTCTCTCTCTCCTTTCTCTTTCTTTCTCTTCCTTCCTGTCTCTCTCTTCCTCTCTCTCTTCCTTCCTCTTTCTCTCTTTCTCTCTCTCTTTCTCTCTCTCTTTCTTTCATTTCCTTGGAATGCTAGAGCTTATTCGTGATCAATCATCCTCACAACTAGTTCTTGGAATCCTTATGTGCACTGTCCAGTATTAAGCGCCAGTGGGGAGAACAGGCATTGAAGAGCAAGAGGCCTCTTCACCATTTGCTGGTGATCTTAGTTATACCTCTTCAGTCTTTAAACAGTTTCCTGATAGCTCAGTAGGTAAAGAATCTGCCTGCAATGCAGGAGACCCTGGTTTGATTCCTGGGTCGGGAAGATCTGCTGGTGAAGGGATAGGCTACCCACTCCGGTATTCTTGGGCTTCCCTGGTGGCTCAGATGGTAAAGAATCCGCATGCAATGCAGGAGTGCTGGGTTCGATCCCTGGGTTGGGAAGATCCCCTGGAGAAGGCAGAGGCTACCCACTCCAGTATTCTGGCCTGAAGAATTACATGGACTGTATAGTCAATGGGGTCACAGAGAGTCTGACACGACTGGCCGACTTTCACTTCACTCCTTTGTGGAGTGGGGTAATCATAAGAGAAATCAATGTTAACGCATGTAAAAAGCTTAAAAGAGTGTCAGGAGCATTGTAAGTCCTTAATACAGTGGTTCTCAAGGTATGATCCCCAAGACAGGGAGCATCAGCATCATCGAGGAGCCTGTCAGAAATGTAGTTCTCGGATCTCACTCCAGATTTACCCAATCAGAAACTTCAGGGATGGGGTCCAGCAATCCATTTTAAGAAAATTTCTAGGTGATTCCCACGCATGCTAAAGTTTAACACATGGTAACTATTAACAACTAGTGCCTGAGGCTGCAGAGACGAGCAGAGGGCAGATACGAAGGGTTTAGTAGCCTATTATTAAGCCCTAAGGTGCAGCGGCGTTCGTAGTAACGGTTCTTACCGGTCTCAACTCTAACTTCCCCTTCCTACTCCTTCAGCGCCCGCCTAGAGCTCCCGCCTCGCTGATTGGTGGGGTCTCTCTGGATCTTCACCGCCGATCCAACCACGGAGAGCATAAATGGAGAGAGGCGGAACTAGGCACGGCTAGAGCGGCGCCCCTATTGGCTACAGACCACGGCGCGGACGGAAGTGCGCATGCGCACAGGCGAGGCGCGCCCCCGGCGGCCGTTGAAAAATGGCGACTGTCGCCGAGTTGAAGGCCGGTGAGTGCGACTGGGAGGTCTACCTGGTGAAGTGTGTTGGCCTTCAGTCTGTGAAAAGGATGGGACGAAAGGAGGGCCCGCGGAACACTAAAGTCAGCCTGTCCCAGGGTTGTTCTGCGGCGTCAGGGCCTGCGGAGCATCCGGCGGGTGTGGCGGCTGCAGCTCCGGGCTCTAGAGGGTAGGGATGTGGTTACATGGGGGCTGTTTTTAAACCGACTTTAAACTGGAGGAGGAGCCCCGGGATCCGCGGGTACCTGAGAGGTCTGAAGTCCTGCACCTTGGGGCTCAGGCCCATCTTTCTGGATTCTGCCGGGGTCGAGGCCTTGGACCTGGCCTTTTCCTCCGGACTGATGGTTGCAGTACCGAAACAACTACTGTTGGTGTTCGGCCCAAACGTAAACCGTTTCCTTGGCTATCTACCTGAATCCGTACAGCCACCCGCGAGGTGGGTCACCATTTTCCATGGGGAAAAACTGTAGCTAGAAAGGTGTCTGGCCTGACCATATTCTCCTGTGTTTTTAAGAAAACTTCCACAAAGAGTCGAGTCTTTTAAGCTGAGAACATTTGTATACCGTTAGTTTTGACGCAGATGTCCAGGCAAGTAATAGTAATTATGGTTGTTAGTGATCGAGCCTTCTGTCAGGCACTACCCAACCCCTGTGTTATCTAATTGATTCCGTATAACAACCTTATACCCATTGCAGAGATTAGGAAATTGAGGCGCTGAGAGGTGAAACAGCTCACCCAAAATAATTTAGCTAGAAAAAGGCAGAGAGTAAGAACTTGGGAGATGCTGCACCAGGTCTGCAGGTCTTCGTTACTGAGTGATACTTGGTATCTGCTAGTAAGACCAGTTCCAGTTTTCGGGAGATTTAGGCTCTAAATCAATGATTCCTAGAGATTTGTTGGAGAAAATGATTTGAGAGTATGATTCAGTAACTATTGATATAAATGTATATTTGTGGCCTCGGGCTGGTGAACAGTCATTAAAAAGGCATACCTTTAGGATTTCCCTGGTGCAGTGACACCGCCCCCCCCCCCCCCCCCCCCCCCCCCCCCCCCCCCCCCCCCCCCCCCCCCCCCCCCCCCCCCACACACAGTGCAGCCGGCACAGGTTCTATCCCTGGTCTGGGAACTAAAATCACACAGTGGGGCCAAAAAAAAGAGGCAACCTCTATCCACAAGCACAGACTCGACATGAGTTGGTGTACCCTCTCCCCAGGAAACACACATCACCTGTAATGTTGCATGCTACTTCTGAGGATTTACAGCTAGTAAAGAACCTGCTGCCAATTCAGGAAAGAGACTCAGGTTTGATCCCTGGGTCAGGAAGATCCCCTGGAGGAGGGCATGGCAACCCACTCCAGTGTTCTTGCCTGGAAAATGCCATGGAGAAAGGAGCCTGCAGGCTACGGCTCATAGAGGTGCAGAGAGTCCAATATGACTGAAGTGACTTAGCACACAGCACACTGTGTTTCCTATTGTTTAATATTTTACAGTTTTGGTAAAAGATTGTATAGTCCATGGGGTAGCAAAGAGTCCCACGTGACTGAGCGACCTTTCGCTTTCACCACTTTCACTCCGAGGATATAAACCAGGTTAAGAAGCTCTGTCTGAAGAAATTGTCATGGTGCAGTGTTTTAATAAACATGATAATAGAGTGAAGGTCAGAATGGCATGGAGATTAGGGATGTATTACACAGATATAGGGAGCCCTTTAGGTGTTTTCTGCATTCCTCAGCTCTGAATGTGCCTAGTGTTCAAGAGAAATCTAATGAAAATGTTTGCCAATCATTTATATTACTTGGGCTTTCACCTTTTTAAAGCACTTTCACTTCACATTTTCCTGCCTTACTTGGTTCTGCCTCTGAGACATAGAGCTCATGTTGGAGAAGGCAAGTGAGGCAAGAGTTAGTGATCGAGCCCTGAGGTAGTGATGACATGCAAGGTTCCTAACTCCAAATTCTTCTTTTTCTGGTTATTTTTGTTTTGGGCTGCTCTGGGTCTTCACTGCTGTGTGTGGGCTTTCTCAAGTTGCAGTGAGCCTGTCTAGTTGTGGTGTGCAGGCTTCTCCTTTCGGAGGCTTCTCTAGTTGCGGAGCATGGAATCTAGAGCAGACTCAGTGGTTATGGCACGTGGGCTTAGTTGCCACGTCGCATGTGGAATAGTCCTGCCCCAGGGGTCAAACCTGTGTTTCTTGTGGTGGCAGGCAGACTCTTAACCGCTGGACCACCAGGGAAGTCCAGCTTCTTAATTCTCATTTCTCTGCTGAATTTGAGGCTGTGCTGTATGCGTATACAGAGTAATTGGATATGTCTAGGGTGGAATCTGTTTAATTTTCAAAGATGGAGTTAGAGAACAGGGGTTTAGTAATGATTCCAACATAATAAAGCTGTACCTTCCCTTCCCTTCATGGGCCTGTTACACAGTCTGATTGGGTGATAACTACTTTTAACCTCCCTGCAAAAAGAGGTTGAGGAGCTGATCTAAATGTAAAGAGCAAGGAAGGTTAAAGTCTAGTCTAGATTTATCCCTTTAATCATATGACCCAGATTTTTATTGTTTATCAAAGCTTAAAAAAAGTTTCATGTCCATGCCTACATGAATACAGTCTCTGGGCTCCCTTTATGAATTGTCATTATTGTGGTGTACTTATTTATAGCACAATACAGTATTAAACTATATTTATTATTCCAGTAGCATACAGCATGGGGTTTCCCTGGTGACTCAGTAGTAAAGAACCCACCTGCCAATGCAGGAGATTCCGGTTCAGTCCCTGGGTTAGGAAGATCCCCTGGAAAAGGAAATGGCAAACCACTATAGTATTCTTGCCTGGGAAATCCCATGCATAGAGGAGCCTGGCAGGCTTCAGTCCGTAGAGTTGCAGAGAGTCAGACACGGCTGAGCGACTGAGTGCAAGTATACAGCACAATATTATAAAGCCTTTAGGCAGCATTTATTGAGCTCTTACTCTGTTCTAGGCACTATGGGTGAAATGTGTTGCGTCTCTGGAGTTGTGATTTAGCTGTTAGGGACCACATGGGGGAAAAAAGTTTTTAGACAACTGTAAGGGATGATGCCAATTCAACCCTATCCATGTTATTATTTATAGCTAAAAACTCATTATCATAACTACTGATAATTGTAGTAGTGACCCTTGCTCATCAAGGTGTTAGATTACATTCAGCGTATATATCCCAGATTCCTTAAGATGGCATTGATAAGGCTACATGTTAGATTTCTAACTAGGCTTCAATTTAAAAATGTTACTTTTTTTTTTTTTAAGATTTATTTATTCATTTTTGACTGTGCTGAGTCTGTTGCTGCAGGGGCTTTTCTTTAGTTGTGGTGAGAAGAGGGCTGCTCTCCAGATGCAGTGCACAGGCTTCTCACTGCGGTGGTTTTTCTTGTGGAAGCACAGGCCCAGGCTCTAGGGCTTGCATGCTTCAGTAGTTTTGGCATGTGGGCATGCTAGTTGCGGCTCCTGGGCTCACAGGCTCAGTAGCTGTGGCACACAGGCTTAGTTGGTCTGCAGCATCCCTTCCTAGATCAGCGATGGAATCCATGTCCCCTGCATTGGCAGACAAATTCTTCACTACTGAGCCACAAGGAAGCCCCTAATCTTAGAATTTTAAGGAGTTAACTCATAGTTATCTTTAAAAAACAAACAAAAGCCCAGAACAAAAGCTCATCTCTTTTGTTCAGAATGGGCCATTTCCCAAGGGTTCCAGGTATCAATTTTATACAAAAGACACAACATAATCCTTTTTGGAGTGTACTTGTTATTTTCAATTATATACTTTCTAGACCAGAGATTTTTAGTGAAAGATTGAACCTGTCTCTTGGGCTTTCCTGGTGGCTCAGTGGTAGAGAATCCACCTGCAGTGCAGGAAATGTGGGTTGCATCCCTGGGTTGGGAAGGTCTTCTAGAGAAGGAACTGGCAACCCACTCCAGTATCCTTGCCAGGGAAATTCCATGGACAGAGGAGCCTGGCAGGCTATAGTCCATGGGGTCGCAAAAGAGTTGGACACAACTTAGCAAATAAACAGCAACAGAACCTGTCTGCAGTTGACAACTACTCTTGAAAAGATAGGAGACTCTGGGAGACAAGTTCAGGTCCTAGTGAGCTGAGTATAATTCTTCTCCCATTTTCTCTTCACTAAACTTGTGTATCAGTCTGTGGCCTCTTGCAGTGACACTGTTGGAAGGATAAACTTAACATTTGGTTAACTAAATTAAAGTAGTAAATCATTGCAATTTGGGAGCTTTATTTTCTATTGCAAATATGGCTTGTGGTAGCTAATGTGATGATTGTTCAGTTTGTCGTATTGTATAGATTGGAAGGGTGTGATATTTTAAACATTTTGTTTTAAAAGTTTGCCTAAGAATGGCAAAAACTTATTCTGTAACTGAAACATTAATACTTTATATTAAACAGTTTTAAAGGACACGTTGGAAAAAAGAGGAGTGTTAGGGCATTTAAAAGCAAGAATTCGTGCGGAAGTTTTCAATGCCCTTGATGATGAAAGTGAACCTCGGCCATCATTGTCTCATGAAAACTTTCTAATTAATGAACTAATTCGGGAGTATTTGGAATTCAACAAATACAAGTATACAGCGTCGGTCCTCATAGCAGGTAAGAGGTTATTTATTGTTAATCACCTGAGGTGAAATCTGCCTTTTCCTTTCCCCCAGTTCTCAGAAAGCGTTTAGCCTAGAAATCTAATTCCATTACCAAACGGTGTCATCTGGGACATGACTGGGACATAAAAATCCCATGGGTTCTTTTCATATCATAGCTTGAATAAGTTCTCATGATGTTTACTGGACTATAGGAGAAAATGACTAAAGACTTAACCTAGGTGCATACCTTGAAAGTCATAATTTCTGATTCTGAGAATAAACAGTTATTTACATTTTGCCCTATGTGCTGTCAGTCTTTTTCCTATGTATATGGTTTAAAAATACACACAGACTTAATATATATATTCTTTATTAAAAAATATAAAATGTTGAAGATAAAGCCTCAAAGTATTGCTCCCATGTATTGATTAGGCATGTATTCAGATGTATATAAAAGCATTATATTTAAAAAGGACTAGATAATCTATAGAAATTTCAAATCACTATGTTGTACACCTCACACTAAAATAATATTGTGAATCAACTAAAATTTAAAAAAGAAAACGATGAGGAAGATAAACTCCAAGCTCATTCTAGTGATGAGAGGGAGAGAAATGGTACTGGGAGAAGGGGGTCAACAATTAAAGTGAAATTTACTTTATCTGTTAAATTTTATTTCTTAAGAAAGAAAGCAAAAGAACTAGAAGAATGTGGACAGTAGTCAGGGTTGGTATTGCCCCTAGGCTGGGGGAGATGAGGTTGGGAAGACGATCAAAGCACCCTGCTTGTACATTTCTTGATTCCCTTGTCCAGTGTTTTACATACGCTTTAAGACTATTTGGTGCCTTGGAGATATGCTTCATCAAAGAAGAGAGATCATGAAGTAGATTTTGAAAGAATGGATTCCTTATTGTGATGCTGGAACTTTCCATTGGATACATCTTTTGTTAATATTCTAGGTCTTTTATTTAATGTTAAGTATATACCTTAACTGAATAAAGACTGATGATTTTTATTGGTTTAAGGATCATCAGTGTCAGTATCTTCACTTTCCTCAGTCTGTTATAGATGGCTGTATAATATGTTACTACTCAGAAAAGAAGAATGTGAAAATATCATCAATTAGATGTACTGGACTTACCTAGAATGAAATACAGTGACACAGTAGTCAGGTTTCTACAGGGTCTTGACTTTTAAAAAATTGAGATGTACTTAGCATAAAGATACTTTACCACTTTCAGTATTTAGTTCTGTGGATTTTGCCAGATTCACACAGTTGTGTGGCTGCCGCCACAGTCACAATATAGAAATGTCTGTCACCTCAAAAAAAATTCCCTGTGCCCTTTTGTAGACAACTTCTTTGCCTACTCTCAACTCCTGTCAACGTCTGATCTGTTATTTTCTGTACCTGGTCATTTGCCCTTTCCAGAATGTTGCATAAGTGAAACTGTACAGGATGTAGCGTTTTGAACCTGCTTCCTTTCACTCAGCGTAACGCATTTGAGACTGCTGTTTTTTCCCCCCTGAATAGCATTCCATTGTATGGCTGTGTTGATTTATCTGTTATCAGTTGATGGACATTCGAGTTGTTTCTAGTTTTTGGCAATTAAGAATGCAGCTGCCATTAACATTCACTTAACGAGGATTGTCTGAACTTGTTTTCACTTCTCTTGGGGAAAGAGCTATGAGTGGCTTTGCTGGGTTGTGTATGGTAATAAGTATCTGCTTTCCTTTGTGAGTAAATGCAGCATTTTGTTCTCCTGCCAGCAAAGTTCTCCCAGTTGCCCTGAATCCTTGCCAGCACTTCATATTTAGTGTTCATTTTACTTTTAGATTTATTGCCAACAAATGGATATCAGTGCTGTCATGTATTTAATTTGTAGGCTTCTTAGAAAATAGGACTTCTCAAGTCTAGTATATAGAAACAGTAATTTCCCAACTCAAAATTGGGGGATTTAAAAACTGACTTTATATTAAAGATATGCATTTAACAAAGTAGGTATTTTGAAAGTCATAAAATCACAGTTGCATCTGTCTTGGTGTGTGCCATCATCATTCTTCTAAAAGCTGAAAAATGTGTATACCTCTTAAGTGTGGTTTTTATAAAAATCCTATTTACTTTTTAGATTAATAAAGCCTCAGTGTTTTGTGATCTTCCCCCCAGAATCTGGTCAACCTGTAGTTCCACTGGACAGACAGTTTCTCGTCCATGAACTAAATGCATTTGAAGATTCAAAGGATAATACAATGTAAGAAGTTTTTTTTAAATAAGTTTTCAGATACTATTGTATTGGGGTCATAATTGTGTAGTGGTACTTTTATTTCATTTTAATTCATCAGGTATTTATTTGGGTCCAGTGTGTGTCTGGCACTGTACTACATCCAAGGGACACAGCAGTAAGTGCTAAAATGCCTGTGGTTTCAGAGGATGAAGTACCCCTGCTTCATTCTGAGGGTCGTGTCTCTCGGCTTCTTGATGCATCCTTTTGTTTTTCATCTGAGGCTTTGCTCTATCAATTGTTTTCTGCTTCATATTTAATCTTCGTCTTCTGCTTCCTTTACATCAGCTTAGGAATGTACTTAATTCTCCCCTTTCCCCCAAAATCCTATTTTTACTACTGAAGTTAGTGAAAATCAACCCTCTGTTTTCATTTTGTTAGCTACATTTTTTGCCTTCTGTACATTTAAAATTTTCTCCTCATCATTTATACTGAAATGTTTTGCCTTCTCTACATTTGAAATTCTCTCCTCATCATTTATACTGAAACTATGCTCTTGAGAAAGAGTGACCACTGTCTAATAGGTTCTTAGTTCTTTTTCTACTTTAATGTTTCCTAAACTTTTTCTAGAGTATCCCTGAATGGCAGAAAAAAATTATACCTAGGAAACCTGGGAACATAGCTCAAAGTAGTCTCCCTAGCAAGAAATTTCTTTGAAATCTTATGTTTTTCATTCTAAAAGTTTATTGAATATTTTCATTCTACTTCATGATGTAATTGTTTTACCATAAAAACGTTTAAAATGACATGCCAATAAAGTTGAACCGTCCCTCCAATCTTTGTGTAAAATGAATGTTCTGGGATCATAGGCTACCTTTAACCGCTACTTTGTATCAAGCCCCCAGCACTGAGAGCCGGAATATACCTATTTCCAATTTGAGAAGCTCAGTTTTACTTGACTTTCTGCAGTATTGTGTAATATTAACAGCTCTTCCTTAAAACACTTGTCACTTGTCTTTGATGACCCTTTACTGGCTTGGTTTTTCTGTCTCCCCAATAGTCATCTGAATGGTGACTGAACTGACTGACTGACTAGTGGTCATCTCAGTTTCTTCACCGACTCCTTTAGGAAGGTTCTTCTAAATTGTGGGCACTCTCCCCCAAGATCTGTCCTTAACTTTCTTTTCTTCTTGTCCCTCTGCCCACTTTTCTTACTAAGTATTCTTGAGTCCTTAGTGATGCCGCCACACTGGTGACTGTGCCTTAAATCTGACAGATCTCATGAACTGCGGGCACACATTTCAGCTGGTATCTCAAACTTGGTGTGTCTAAACATCAAGTCCGTTATTTTCATCTCTTCAAACCCCCCTTGTAACTTCCTCATAGAGCCATTCAGGTCCTTCCTTATCTCAGAGCTCACGTGTACTTCTGGCTCATTCTCACTTCTCCACCAGGCACTGCGAGTTTCATCAGTTCTGCCTGTGTGGTTGTGCCTATCTGTCCTTACGCCCTGCACCGGGCAGTTCAGGAGGCCTCTTTCCTGTTTCTCTCGAGTCATGTTCTTTTCTGACTCATGTGTCATGCTGCCAACAGTTTGCTTTCTGAAAGACACGTATTGCTTTGTTTAAAGCATTTCCACTGAAAAGATTTTAGATTTTAAAAAGTAATAAAGTCCATATACCAAGCATTAGGTGTAGGTGCCAGTGGAAGTCTGAAGTAGCACTCAACGTTCAGTAAATATTTTTATTTAATATTATTTAATATTAAATTAATATAATTAACTAATAATTATATAAATTATTTTATAATTGATATAATTATTATAATTAATATAATATTTAATTGATTATTTAATATTAATATTTTCAGTAAAAGTTAAAATTTCACAAAATATAGGGTAAAGTATTTAATGACCTTATATTCAGTCTAGCCATGACACCAAGTGAGTTTGTGCCAAACTTATGAAGAAAATTAGTATTTAGAGTTTCTGTTTTTCAAAATTGCAAATAAGGCATTGTGAAGCTGTACTTTAAAAACAATTATCACTATTTTTAACTCAGGATTTTTTTAAAAAGAAATCTGATATTGAAGCTGCAGGTTAAAATGAGCTGGTTATATGTTTTCTCATAACATCTAAAAATATCTAAATCTTAAATAGATTTTATTGTAAATTTAGCAAATAGAATTTTTTTTTTTTTAATTTAAAAATCCCCTTTGATCAGTTAACATTTGAGGAACCAATGGTTTAAAGTTGACCAAGAGACCTATTTTATATTCCTGGATACTGCTTTTATAAAAGCTGAGGCATCTTATTAAATAGAGAAACCCATTCTCTTGGTTTCCTTGTGGAATGGAAACATTGCTTTTGTGTGCAATTAGTTATTTGTTGCTGTATAATAGATTACCCCAGAATTTGGTGGTTTAATATAGCACTGTGGCGAGGAATCTTGAGAGTGACTTCTGTGGCTTAGCCTCAGTCATGAGGTTGCAGTTAAGATGTTGACTGCCGGGGGGCAGTCATCTCAAGTCCTGGCTGGAGCTGGAGGATCCATTTCCATGTGGCTCACTCACACGGCTGTTTGTTGGAGGCCTCAGTTCTTAACAATTACATACCTTTCCATAGGACAGCTTGAGTGGCAGCTGACTTCCCCAGAGTGACAGAGAGAGAAGGCAGGGGAGATGCCACAGTGCTGTTGATGACCTGGTCTCTGAAGCTGGGAGTGCTGTCCCTCAGTGCCTTACTTAGTTCTAGAAAAAGTGAGTTCAGCTCACACTCAGGAGAGTAAGGCTCCCACCTTTTGAAAAGAAAGAATATCATACTTTAAACTATCCCACCTGCTAGTAAGTAGATAAAAATCTCAAAAAGACAATCCATTAAATTGATATTTTCTAACTGTGAGATTGGAAACAAGAGAAAACCTCTCTTTATTGTCATCAGAGCAGCTTCCATTGGTGCAGGGGCATCAGGCAGCATACTCTTAGGGAAAAAATACAGGACTTGGGGTTCAAGTGTCAAGTTTGCTTACTATCCAAGCAGTCCTCTCGCAAATCCTCTGTGAGCGGTGGTTTTCCCATTTATAAGTTGGAGATGATGATTATGACATCACAAGATGAGGATAAAATAAAGAAAGGAAAGAATGTTTTGTAAACTGTAAAGTAGTTTTTAAAATTTTCTCACCTGACACCTGTATGGCTTACATTTGCGTACCATTTAATACATGCCAGGCACAGTTCTAAACACTTGACATTTATTGACGTATTTGGTCCATGACTGCCCCTTGAGTAGAGACTATATTTACCCTCATTTATAGAGGAAGAAACATTTATAAGGCTGAGGATATTAAAAGTCTTGCTGAATCTTGAATCCTGTCAAGTAGCAGGGCAAGGATTTAAACCCAGACAAGGATTTATGAATCCAATAAGTGTTTATTGTATCAGACAGTGTTAGGTAGTGGGAAATCTTACACTGGACTTGGAGTTAAAAAAGAAAAAAAAGCTGATTCCTGTGCATTGATTGAATTTGCTTTTCAGTTTAGATGAAATTTAACTTGTTAACATGTTTCCTATGGATTTTAAAATTATAGAGTCAAATTGTACGTTTACATTTCAAAAAGCATGAACAGTTTGCAATTTAGGTAATAACCATGCAACTTTTTTCTTTTAAGTCTAGTGAATTATTTGACTATTTTGGTGTCAGAGACTACCTTTTAGAGAATAGATATTTTAAAGTTTTTCCTGTTTATGCAAACTTAATTGATTTTTATTTTCTTCCTGCTATAGACCTCTTTTATATGGGATTTTAGCTCATTTCTTGCATGGAACTAAGGATGACAACCAAAATACATTTCTGAAAGGGTCTTCATTCCAGCCTCCAAACCCAAATCTTGGCAGACAACCTAGTGGAAGAAAGCAAATGGGTATGAGTTTTCTGAGACTTATCACTCAGCTTTCAGCAAGTGTATTTTCTTCCTATCTATTTTTATCTTTGAGGTAGTTTTTCCTAAGTTTTTGAGTCATAATTTAATTCCATTTATATCTAATATAGTTAGCCTGTGTTATTTATCTTCAAATAAAAACCAAAATAGTTTTTGACAATCTTGTGAGGAGCAGAGAGAAGACTAGACAAAATTCTTTGATATAATTTCTGTAAAGAAGTATTGAAAAACTTGATTTTCACATAGATTTGTACTCTTTGGAGCAGCTTAGATCCTGAGCATCCTGAAGAAAGAGCTTTTTATCAAGTTACCTATTTTTTTCCCTCTCAAACTGAGAAAAGTCAAGATTGCTGAAAATAGAGCAGTCACAGGTTTATGTTTTGTCCTTTGCATTTTCAGGATTCTTTTTTGGTGGGGAGTGGGGTGAATATTTGTGGTAATGTAATTACTCACAAATAAATTCTTGAGAGAACAGCTAGCTCATATTTCTTTCAAGAATACTTACTCTTCCAATGAGCTTTCAGTTGTTTTGATTTTATCAAAACACTAAGACCTCAATTTGATAATCTAAATTGAATAGTTTATAGCTCAGTATTTCCAACTATGGTACAGCTGATCTCTCTTTTTAAGGACAGTCATAGGTGGGGCTCAGGCAGCTGATTATCAGAAGAAATATAAGTCTTGACTGTTGAAATAAACTTTTAAGAAACATCTTAAGTGCAGATTGTCTTTTGTAGTTTTTCTAAATTGCCATGAGCAATATTGATCATGTTAAATGTTTGCAATGTCTCTTAAGATCTGAAAGGAAAGTGATTTCTTGGAGGTTAGTTCTGCCTTTACTAGGAGTTATCCTTCTGTTTATCTTAGAATTCTGAATTGATGGGATGTTGGAAAAGAAATCACTCCCATCACTAATTTTACAGTTGAGAAAATCAAGACTAAGAGGCTCACTGCCTGTAGCTGATCATTTTCAGCAGAATCAGCACCCTGGATTGCCATTCCTGTGCACTTTTCCACGTAAAGAATATGAGAGGTTTTCCTATTTACTTTTTTAAGTATTGGTAAGGAACTGCCATTATTGCCTGCTATTTGGCAAGAACTTAAAAAGCAAAGCCAGACACCTGGTACAAGAGTAAACCCCTAAACATCAGTGATGTAAGGGAGAATTCCCTCTGAGCTCATCTCCTTGCCTCTCCCTAACACCTCGGCTTCCCCCTGCTCCATAGAAGGCAGCACTGTTAGCTTGGCGGGTGTCCTCAGGGGCCATCTCTATTTACAGGCGCTGTTTCTGCGCATAGCATCCTACATTTGTTTCCACATGTTATCAGTTTATGTGAGTCTGCTCCTACCTCATTCTTAAATTCCTGTATAGTATTCTGCGGTGCTACTGCTAATCACTCTTTGCTAATGTACTTTTGTATGTTTTAAATTTCTTGGTTTACAGTATTGGAGGGTAGCATTAGCATTTCTCTTACGTGCATACCTTGAAGTAAAATTGGTTCAAAATATTGCATATTAAAAAATGTGGTAGATACTGTCTAATTCTCCTCCAAAAAGGCTTTACCATTTTACATGTTTACCAAGAATATATGATAATACTAGTTTCTCTATTTAATTGTCACCAGTGGATAGCGTATGCATTAACTCTTGTTAGCACAGCAAACCTGTAACGTTGGTGTTTGTAGTTGTAGTGGGAGGGGAGCAGGAACAGGAGAGTGCTAGAGAGGATGCAAGAGTCCTTGGTTACCTTGGCTCCTCCCTGTAGAAAGAGCCAGAGACATCAGAGAATAGAGTTGAGCTCAGCAAAGCTTTGGACGCCTGTTCTGTGGAAGACTCAGAAAGGAGGGTGAGTGCACTAATAGGAGAACAGTGATCTACACAGGTTATTTTTCTTGATTGTCAAAAATGTTCTTGGCACAACAGGGACAGTGAAGAATTGTTAACTCCAAATTGCATAAGGTTTCTGTAACATATTTAAGCATCCTATTTACTTTCTCAACAGCAACTTATTGTGTGAAGGATACATTTTATTTGACAACATTGAGAAAGTTACAAAGAAATTAAAATTATTCTTCAGATTAAATACCTTCTATTGACATAAACTCAATCCAGGTGAAATATAAAACACTAAAATTAAACTCTCTTTTATTGGAAAATGAGTCCCAAGCGTGCCATCATGAAAGCACTTTTTTTAAAGGATTTGTTTGGGTTTTTCGGCTGTGCTGGGTCTTCGCTGCTGCCCCCGGGCTTTCTCTGGTTGCAGCAAGTAGGGGCTGCTCTTTGTTGTGGGTGCGCGGGCTCCTCATTGCGGTGGCTTCTCTTGTCGTGGGGCACAGGTTCTAGGTGTGCCGGAACAGGAGTTGTGGCACAAGGGCTTAGTTTCCCCACAACTAAACAAAAATTGCCCTCTTGTTTTTGGCCGAAGACTATTTCCTACAATTTCAGTGGATGGTTTTCTGAGTTTGGTAGGAAGTTTTCTTCTCAAGCCACAAGAGGGTGCTGCTGGGAGGATTTCTGTTTGAAGAAGAGTTTTGTTTTTTTTTTCTTTTTGGTTAACTTTGGCATCCCTCAAAATACTAATTGAAAACACAGTCCTTTGTTGTGAATTCCAGTCCTTACATACAGTGTAAGTTTGTAAGTACTTACCCATGAGTTTACTCCAGGGTGTACTCTTTTCACTTAAAAAAAAAAAAGAATAATTAATAAGTCCCTAGTACTAAACATTTCCCATTTTTTCAATAGTGTTAAATAAAAAATCCAACATTTTTTTCACTGTTCTAAGCCATCTAAAGACCTTGTATGATAGAAATATGTAGTATCCTAAAATATGTATAGTTAAGTCTGCCTACTGCCCATTTTGACCTTCTCTTGTATTCTTGCAGAAGACCACTTGCGGAAGGAGCAGGGGAGGGGCACTGATACTGAAAACCTGCACACTTCTGCCTCGGTGAAGAGATGACACTTCCAACTGGGGCATCTTTTATCTTAAACTTGTGTGTATTAAATAACTTATTTATTCTCCCAATGTTACCAGAATTCATCGCTAGTATTGTACTTTGTAAAAACGTGAAGTTTCTACAAAACCTTTAGCCCCTCATGTTTTACTGCATTTGTGAATAAAAGCTAACTCTGTCATCTAGTTTACCAGATTTGACTTGAAAGAAAATGTGTGGTTTCTAGGACGATTTTAAAGGTCCCTAAATCTGTGAGAAACGAAAGGGTTTTTTTTTTTGTACTCTATAAATTCTTCTAAAGAAAAAAAATCAAGTATTTCTAGCCATATGCCCTGTTCTGTTTTTGGCTGTGCTTCGCAGCTTGTGGAATCTTAGTTCCCTGACCGCGGATTGAACCTGGGCCCTGGCACTGAAAGTACTGAGTCCTAACCACTGTACCTCCAGGGAGTTCCCTGCTCTGTTCTTTACCATGGCACATTAATTAAATTTCTTTCAGGCTGGAATAATGTGGATTTACAGGAAAATACATTCATTAAAAAAAAAAACCACACATTTAAAAAAACACTAAAGCCAGAAAAAACTTAATTCCTATAAACTTTGATTTGGGGGGGTGGGTGAAACTAGCTATTTTTTAGATAACCATTTATAATTAGGTTTAAATATCTGAATTACTATCTAAAATTGAACTTTAAAACTTGGTAACAATGTACTTTTTATTTTCTTAAACAATCTTGGCTTCTCCTAGAAGATTTAATTAAAAGGTGGGGGTGGGGGATAATTCTTTTAATTTTGCTGTAAGTAAAACAAAGAGTTTATTACTTGAAGAATGTGGAATAAGCATGATGAGACAGGCTTTAGGAGAAATACCGGAAAGTACCTTTTAAAAGATGGCATTGTTTATCTTCATTGTGGCCCTCAGTTGTGCAGTTACCAGATGAGCTCTGAAAGGGCCAACCCTCACTTGTATGGGCTCTGAAAGCCTTCTTAAATATCATGTTTTATTCCTGGTATAGAAAAGTAGTAAGATTTCTTATAGTGCCATCTCTAAAATGCTTTGATATTTATTGACATTTTTATAATGTGGAATCTTCAGGCTGGCTTCACTGAAGCAGCAAATGAGTATAGTAGACAGAACCTGATTGGCACAAGATACAAGGTATATTCAGAACAAAACTGCATGGGTACCTATACACTGACATTATTTAGCTTTAACATTTTCCATAGGAAGGGTGATAAGGAAGGACTGTAGCTGGCAAAATTGGCATTCCTTTTGGGGTGTTGATTCTGTGCTGCTTTTGGAAATTACCAAACCTTTATTTCTGGTGCTAGTCAAGTTTTTGGTGTAAGGAGTTCAATCCTTACAGATTAACCAAGAATTTTTATCTTAATGCTGAAAACTATTAAAGAAGTTCCCTTAAATCATACTTTACAAGTCAAAAGATTTTTGAGAGCCCCTATTAGTGGGCTAAAATTATATATACAGATGTAGAAATACTATAAAGGGCTCGTTTCCATTTTTTAAATGAAATCTATAGTACCTGATTACAATGATGAATTCCACTGTATTGTATAGGGGAATGTAACTATCTAAATTCTTCTGAGAGGATTTGGTTTACACCCAGGAATGTTGGCAGTGGACACTGTTTACCTCAGGAATTGCAATCATGCAGGACTAGTTTAAGAAAAAGTGCTGAAGTTTGTCATTTTGGATACAATATGAAATCATCAAAATAGAAGCTAAATGAAATTGTCACGTGAAGTCCATATTGTGTCTGTATGCATTATTCTGTAATTTGTTTGTACCTAGGCAACTTTTATACTTTCAGTGTACCATTTAATAAAAAAAAAAAGCGTGCAAAAGGTGTTCCTATGACTCTTCTGTCATCAAGAGATGTCCACTGGAACCAGAATAAGGCTTGGCGATGGTTCCTTAGGCTTTCTTTGGGGATCTCTGGCAACCTAGCTGTTGGAGGGTTGAGGATCGCTGGCATCAGCCATGTCACCCTGGTATAGTTACTCTTCACTGGGTGGCAGTGGTAGGGGCTGGTGATGTTATTCTCTGAGGGCACAGTGTCATAATCTGTGGGGCCATATATGGTTTGAAAAAACACATTTAGTGGTATGTTTGGTTTTTTTTTTTTTTGGTTGTGCCTTGTGCTTGCAGGATCTTAGTTCCCCGACCAGGGACTGAACCTGGGCCATGGCAGTGACAGCGCCAAGTCCTAACCACTGGACCACCAGGGAATTCCCATACATTCTAGCAGTTTAAATAGGTTCTTGAGCTGAGACACTTAAGGAAGGAAAAGATAAACATAGAAGACCTATCAAACTCTTCTCATGAACTCATAAACTAAATTACTACATCATTGCAGTAATTTTCATGGGGCTGTTAGAAGAAGTTATCCTTTAGACATGCAGGAGAAGTTTTAGCAGAAAACTTACACAAAAATAGGATGGGAATTGGACTTGAAGAGGAATTTAGGAATAGCAGACATTTAAAACTTTGGCAGTAAAAAAAACTCATAGCAGGACCAGAGGTGGCTTTTGAAGATGATAAATTTAAGCTTAGCATATATGTTTGCTTAGTATCAACTAACAGCTTTATAATTATGTGCAATAACATATTTGTATATGTCCCACATGCCTGTATGATTATGTAAAATATGATGTGTTCTTTTAACCTAAAGCCAAGTGTACATAAAGGACTAACACTTGTGAGAAGATTCCTTTAAAGGCATTTGGGACAGTGGTTCCCAGCCACTGGGCATTTCATTTTTGTAACAGCCATTTTGCAAGGATTGTGTGGTCTTCATTTTTAAAAAATGAAAGTGAGGTAAAACTACCTTTTAAAAAATAGACAATTGTTAAAAACAGTTTTAGGTTCATAGTAGAATTGAGTGTGAAGTACAGAGTTCTTACATACCCCCAAAAGTGGTACACACTCACAGACTCCCTGTTATCAACATATCCCCTGAAAGCGGTACATTTGTTACATTCAATGAACCTACATTGACATATCATTGTTACTCAAAGTCCATGGCTGATGTCAGGGTTCACTCTTGGTGTTGTATAGCCTATGGGTGTACATGTCACTGGGCTTCCCTTGTGGCTCAGCTGATAAAGAATCTTCCTGCAATGCAGGAGATCTGGGTTTGATCCCTGAGTTGGGAAGATCCCCTGGAGAAGGGAAAGGCTACCCACTCCAGTATTCTGGCCTAGAGAATTCCATGAACTATATATATATATAGTCCATGGGGTCGCAAAGAGTCGGACATGACTGAGCAACTTTCTCTTCATACATGTCACTACATGCATCCACCCATCATTACAGTATCAGTAATTAAACTGCCATAAAAATCTTTCGTGCTCTGTCTAGTCTTCCTTCCTTTTTCTCCTGTAACTCCTGGCCACCAGTGATCTGTTTATGGTCTCCATAGTTTTACCTTTCCAGAATGTTATATAGTTGGACTCATACTGTATGTAGCTTTTTTACACTGTTTTCTTTCATTTAGTAATACTCATTTAAGTTTTGTCCATTCTGTTCATGACTTGAAAGCCCATTTCTATATAGTGCTGAGTAATACTCTGACATCTGAATGCATCACAGTTTATCCATTCACTTACTTAGATGGACTTCTCAGTTGCTTCCAAGACTTGCTATTAATGAAGAAAGCTGCTCTAACTAAACAACTGTGCACGCTTTAGTACAGACATAGGTTTTCAGCTCATTTGAGTAAATCCCAAGGAGTGTGATCTGCTAGGTCATATGGTAAGAACACGTTTACTTTTGTAAGAAACCATAAAACGATTTTTATTGAGAATTTTCCGACCTTTCCTGATAGAGGTAGAGAATCCAAAGTTACCAAGATACTAGAACTGGAAATCGACGATGAAGGAGCACTGCAAGACTAAACTGTGCAATTTAGTCTTGAACCTGGAGAAGCGTGGGGGCCATAACGCGTAAAAGACAGGGCTTGTGTGCAGGAGCAGAACCATGCTTGTGGTCAGGGAAGATGGCCTTTTATTCACAAGAAGGCAGAATCCTGCAGATCTTGAGCTGGATAACCTGACATCATTGTGAACCACATGCAGGAGCCACGCATCAACCCAGTCTTTGAGGTTATTAAAAACTGGAGAGACTCACTCACACTTTCAGACTTTTTGAATCTAGTAGTAAAGTCAAAGCTATTTGATTTAAAAAAAAAAAAAAAAAGACTCTTAGAGGAATTTCCTCGCTGCCATCTTGTTCCATGACTTCATGGACACTCCCAGGACACGTCACCTCACAGGAGCCATGCCAAGGAAACTTACTTGACAGCCCTTAGTCAGTCACAGTTATGTTTTTTGAGAGTAATTTCCCCCCCCTCAATCTTTAACTGGCTTTTTGAGCCATGAGAAATAAAACAAAGGCATCTGATTTTGAAGAGTCAAACATCTGAGCTTCTGCATCAGATAGACATTGAATGACTATTACGTGCAACACATGTGGTCCGTAGGACTTCTAGAGTGTGCCAGAAATGCCTTCTATAAGGCCTTCCCCACGTTGAGGCAAAGATTCTGACCATCTCTGCTTTTCTTTGAGAAACACAGGCTCAGAGGGGTTCACTGACAATCCTGTGGCCCCCTGGTTGGTGCTTAGCAGATCATGAGTTCAAACCCTCAGACTTCTCTACTTATGCTGGACTCCACACAGCAGGGTGGGAGTTCCTGCTCCATCATTAGCTAGCTGAGCTAAATTGGCTGGTTATTTCATTCACCAAACCTGGTTCCTCCACAGCAAAAGAGAAAAAAAAAATGGTTAAGCATATACCTCATAGGGTTATTATAAAGACTAGATGAGGTAATGTAGTGCAATTCGGTGTCTGTTATAAAACCTTCATTTATTAATAGCCTAGTATAATTAATCTCTTAAAAGTTACCAAGTTCTTTAAAGAATCAGATGCACCGCTTTGGAATACCAATGTGAATGCCTCTGGAAACATGCCGGTTTTCACTCTGAGGTCAGCGAGTTGGACTCTCACAGCCTGCTCTGGATTATCTTTCCAGCATGGGAAGGAGATGATCAACTTCAGTTTTTCCCCCTTCCCCTTCTCTGCTCCACATCAGCTCTGTACTAATGCAGGGACAGTTTCCACTCCTTTTACAGTGTAGACATTACGAGGCACATGGGGAAGCTGCCCATTCATCACTTTCTGAAGAACTTTACCCCTGACATCCCAGTCAGCTGAATGCTGGCTGTTGCGAACTCTGACTTAGGCCCATTATGTGGGGTGTGGAGCTGGGCCTGGGTGTTTTAAGGGTGGAAAGCAGGGAAGATGTTGGAGGGATGAGGAAGGGCCAGAGAGGGTCTGAGATGCAGAACTGCAGAGGGGGCTGGCAGCCCGCAGGAAATAGCAGGCAGGACAGGCTCTCATCATTACAAGGTCCTCAAAGCCAAGTGCAACTCTGCTTGGTTTCATGTTTGTTTTGAATAATAGCAGCTAACATGAAGCATTTTACATGGATATATGTTCATTTGGGGCTTCCCTGGTGACTCAAATGGTAAAGAAGCTGCCTGCAATTTCAGGAAACCCGGGTTCAGTCCCCAGGTCGGGAAGCTCCCCTAGAGGAGGGCATGGCAACTCACTCTGTATTCTTGCCTGGAGAATTCCATGGAAAGGAGCCTGGTGGGCTACAGTCCATAGGGTTACAAAGAGTTGGACACAATTGAGCAACTAACACAGACACATGTTCATTTTACATGGATCTTCTCAAGGACCATTTACAAACAGCTGGGATGTGAAGAAGTGACTGCTGTTGTTCCCATTTTACAGGTAGGGAAACTGAGGCACCAGGTCAAACAACTAGAAAATGGCACTGGCAGATTCCAACTAACCTTAGTGGGAGTCTTTAGCCTCAAGGCTAATTCTTCTGGGCATTTCCCTGTAATGCCCCTTGGGAAGTGAATCATGGCAGCTGTGGGCCTCAGACCCAGTGAGGGTTCAGGCAAAACTCTTCACTCCTCCAGGGCCTCAGTTTTCTCACCTGCAAAATTGGGGCATTCATAAAGGCCTCGCCATCACCTGACCTGGTGGCCAGAGGAGAGTTTGTTGGATAAGACCGGGGCGAGTACCAAGCACAGAGCCAGGTAGGGGTCTTCCAACATCTTTAACCCCCTCAGCAAACCCTCTGGCTTAAGCATCTGGGACCAACGTGGGACTTGGGGGGCCACCTCCTTCTGGCTCAGCCACAAGCAGAGGGGTCCCCCTCCCACCCCACTGCCCTCAGATGCTGCCCCCCCAACCCCCGCAGGGCGCAGGGAGGCTGCTCGGCACCATATTTAGTCAGGGGGAGCGGGCAGCCCCGAGCTGGTATGCAGCGCTGGGAATTCCTGCAGGAAGGAGCCTGCGCCTGCCCTTTTTGGGTTGTCTCCCGCCCAGCGCCCCCCGCCGCCCGCCGCGCCTGCCCGGGGTGGGAGGACCGGCCGGGAACCTAGGAGTCCGGCCGGGCGGGGAGCGGGGCGCCCAGCTGCCCGTGGGTCCCCGGGCTGGCGCAGGGCCAGCCCAACGCTGCGGCTTCCTTTTATGGCCTGTGTGCGTGCGTGTGACAGAGAGGAGAGAAATGGGGGGAGAAAGGGAGGGCGATCTGGAGCCAGAGACACAGGGACCAGAGACAGAGAGAGACAGAGAGACAGTAAGAGACAGCCAAGGGCAGAGTGACGGAGACACACAGAATGAAAGGCAGAGCAAGACAGACAAACGGTGACGGAGAGACCCGGTGTCAGACACACTGGAGGGGGTGGTGCGGACACGGGGTAAGGGAGTGGTACTGAGGGACAGAGACAGGGAGAAAGCTTTCAGGCAGCTTCATTTGCAAGAATTTCCTGGGGCGGGGAGGAGCAGGAGAAGGGCGCTTTCAAAGAGCAGGGAGGCACCCACATTCTCTTTGGATCCTGACATGCACCTTGCAAATTACATAATTACCACACACACACTTCAGCTTCAAACACCGAGGCTCAGAGAGGGGAAGTGACTTGCCTGAGGTCACACAGCCAGCGAATGGGATACCCGGTGCCTGAAGTCACAACAATTGGGTCTTTTTTTTTTTTTTTTGCTGTGGGTGGAAGTGGCGATGCCAAGTTGGGAAAAGTAAAAACTTCCCCTTTCCGCACAATTCCCAGCAGAGTTGGGGGCTCCTGTCTTGTACTTTGCAAAGTTCAGAAAATCCCCTTTCCCTGCCCGTCTCGCAGCATAGCCAGCCCCTTTCCAGGCAGTAGGGGCGAAAAAAATGGGGAGCGGGGAGAGGAGGTGTCGACTCGGACCCCCACAGTTCCTCCCCTGCGGAAGAAGCGGTTAAAGCCTGCGCGGCTGGAACTGACTCAAGGAAGAAATTCTCAAGCATCCCCTAGAGACGCCGAGTGCTCTCCACCCGTTTCTCTAGGGACCCGGAGTCTCCGCGACTGTCCGAGAGCCGGGGTTAGAAAGCCCCGAACGCCTCTGCCCGCTGCGCCCTTCCCGGGGGCCCCCATCCGGTGCGCCCCTTTATGGGCGTCGCGGCAGGAGCGCGCGAGGCCTGGACCAGAGCGGCGTTTTTCGGGCCCTGCAGGGGGCGCTGCGGAGGGAGCCGCGCGGGACCCATCCCCACTCCGCCCTCCTCGGCAGCCTCCCCTTTCCCACCCGCGGGCAGCTCCGGGTCTATAAAAAGAGGCGTCCCGGGCGAGCGCGGAGATTTGGACGCCCCTGCCTGGGAGGTGTACCAGATCTGAGCTCTCCGTCAAGTTTCTTCTCCGCTCTCCCACCCAGTTGGAGATCTGTAAGTATGTGGTCCTGCGGCGTACGAAGTTGAGTCGGGGGTTACAGGATCCTGCAGGGCATCCTATAGGGGCTGGGGAGCCGTGAGGCGCATCTGTTGCCATCCTCTTAAAGACCACTGGGGAGGGGTTGAGGGGGGGTCACAGTTTTCATTTCTCTCTGCCCCGTCATCCTATATTTTCCCCAAACCAGCATCTCCCAAGGTAGCCAATGAGAAGTACCCCCTTGGGGGGTACTTATTAAAGATAATGCCTGGGCCCGTCTCCGGTTACTTTAGAATCTTCAGAAAAACTGTACTCTGTGTATATGAGTCCCAGATGATTCTTGTTATGAGGAGACTCTGGGAGATATGCTGCTTTGGAAATATCAAAGATCCAGCTTCCACTGAAAAGTCATTTCCTATCTCATAGGCAGGCAATGTGTGGCTCCAAGTGGAGATGGAAGCATCAGTTTAAAAAACCATTGGCAGAAGGGGGAGTGTTTTTCCCCAGTCTAGAGCATCAGTCCCCAACCTTTTTGGCATCCCCATGGAAGACAATTTTTGATGGTCAGGGTAGGGGGATGGTTTAAGGATGATTCAGTCACATTACATTTATTGTGTGCTTTATTTCTATTATTATTACATTAGCTTCACCTCGGAGCATCAGGCATTAGATGCTGGAGGTTGGGGGACCCCTGCACTAGAGGATGCGCTGCTGATAAGCCTTGATCATGATCCATTTGTTACAGCTTGGTTTTCTTCCAGACACACACACACCTCCTCCCCCCCCACCAAATTTTTAAAAATCTCATCCAGGTTGACCTCAGGGGCCTCAAATACTCAGATGCCAAAGCCCACACTTGCTTACAGAGTTTGCAAGTGCATTAGGTAAGATGGGGCTGGGCTTTCCTGCAGAACACCCATGTTGCTCTCATGTCCCACCAAGTGGGCAAAGTGAGAGAGAGTGGCTGCCACCGGTTGTCTGGTTTCTGTCTGCACTGGGAGCTGATGGGGATTTGGCTGCCTGAGGAAAGGCACCGTTCAAAACCACACTCATCAAGAAGTAAAAGCAAATATTGAGAAGTCCCATGAGAGGGAGCATTTAGTACAGTATTAAGAACGAATAGATTAAATTGCAAACTGACCATTATATACAGAGAAGGAGCTTGCAGAAGCTGAGCTGAAAGTCATTAGATAGCAGTGGGTGAAACAGGACATTGAAGACCCATAGAAGTGCAGTTTCCTTGGTGCTTTCCCATTGAGGCAAATTACCATTGATGGAGCGCTTATGCGCCAGGCACTGTAGCAGTGTTTGACTTCATTGACCTCATTTAGTCATTGCAACATTTTAAGGGAGGCATTCTGATGCCAGTTTAGTATACAAGATAACTGAGACTCAGAGAGTTTAAGTAATTTGCCCAATGTCACACAGCTTACAAGTGGTGGATCCCATTCCTGCCAATTCTATACCCCTGACCCCACCAACTTTTTTCTTTACCATGAACAAAAACTTTGTTGGAATCAGGTTTCTGATGGGACCAGATGCGACCAGTAAGGCAAGTGTTTATCATCTCTTTGAAGAAACTATAAACTGACCTTTTGCAAATTTAAAATAAAATGCACTGTTTGTCCCCTGGTGGTATGGTCATCTAGTTGACTAGATTAGATGGGCTGCCATCCCCAGAGTCCAAAAGGTGAACTAGCTGGGCCTTCCTCGAGAAGCTTCTAGGGTTGGTAAACACTGTGTGTTTTATTATCATGTCTGAAATAGACATGTTATTCCGTACAAGGTATTTGTTATGGATTTGTTATCGTTACTTTTCTGTGCGAGGTCTGAGATTGAGGCAAACATGCCCATTTATGGTAGCGTTTTCCATGAGGCCATCCCCAGCCCCCTCGCAAATTAGCCCTGTATTGCAGCTTTGCTGGTCCTGCGTCTGGGGATTTCTCTGCCCTTGTCCTTCCCATTTGGGAACAAGTTGGGGAGTCTGGAGAGGAAGACATTTCGGAGAAAAGGGGGATTAACTTCTCCTCTCTTTTGTTTTGAAGTTTTATTTTTGGGGTGGGGAAGTGGTCTTCTCCTTTCCTCAGCATATTGAATCCAAACAGGTGAATTTTATGCTATAGGCACAACCATGTAACTCTAAACTCAGATACACATTAGATTTTTCTGGCAAACCACATCCAATGTTAAATTCACCAGAATCCAAGAACATCACAAGCAAATGTAGAAATCATCCATGTTGTCCTTCCCAAACCTCAGTTTTCCCATCTGTAAAATGGGGCTAATGAGACTATCTAACATCTGTTGAGTGCTTTTGCTGGGACACCATGCCGAATCCATTACAGGCATCTTGTCACTAAGTCTTCACAACAACTCTTTGGAGTGGATGCTGTTATTATTGGTCCTGTTTCACAAATGTGGAGACTAAATAACTTGCTCAAGATAGCTTGACTAGCCAATGAGGAAGACAAGATTTTACAAAACTAACTCTTTCAAGACTTCAGTGTGTATGGAATTGTCCTGCTGGGAGGATTCAAGAGGATCATGCATATGAAAGATTTAGCATAGTGCTTGACCCCTGGTGAACTTCCATGGATGGTTATTTATATGTGATCAGAGACCTTAAAGATTTTGCTCAGTGTTGCCCAGAATGTTGCAGAATTTTGGCAGAACCAGGAAACCTATAGTATAGTCTTTCCATAAAAGAGAGACTTGCCCTTAAATTTCTTGTCTTGCCATCTCTTTTCATAAACTCAGATCCTATTTGGGCAAAGGTAGTGATTAGAATCTTCTGCACTAATATATATGCATTTCCTCACCTGTGTCAGGAACATGACCAGGTATATCGGCCCAGGTATTTTGTGATTTGTGTAGGATCTCTGTGGTGTCCCGGAAGAGCTCACGTGTGAGTGGGAGGAGCCTGTCTGGCTTCCAAGGTGACTCCTTTGATCCCTGGGGTCTTTTCCCTTCACCCTGACCATTAAACGCATTTAACCATGGCCACGCTGTGGGAGAAAGGTTGAGTCTGCAAAAGGCTACGTAGGAATTTGAAGGAACTTTTTGTTTTGCTTTGTTGGAGGATAGTTGACTTTGAAGGAAATTTTGTGAGGGGCCAGATGTTAAAGGAAGAAGCTAGCATTGCCTGCTGTTCCTGCGGAGAAAGTCAGGTGTCTCTGAACCACATCAGTGATTCGGAGGTGAAAGGGGAATGGTCCTCATCAAAGTCCCTAAGAAAGGGCCGTAGGCTTGCCTCTTGTTCACCCGTACAGGCTTGAACTTCCCCTCCGCTGGTGAAGCAGGCAGCAAATGATACAGAATCTCGGAAGGGTTCTGTATCCCTCAGAGTCTGAGACCACTGGGGGTGGTTATAACCCTTACCTGGTCTCCAGGTAGAATGCCTCTCCAGGTAGAATTCCTGACCTTCTTTGTCCTTCCCAGCCTCTCCACTCTTCCCCATCTTTAGATATAACCATTGTTAATGTATTCTTGAGCATCTTTCCAAAACTTTTCTACGTCAAATCTTCCTTTTTTACACAAATATTGTTGGCTTTGTAAATTAGCTGGTTTTTCACTTTATGGCATATTTTAAACTTTCTATATCAGCATATTGTGGTGTTTTTAACTCACCTGCGTAATATTCTATTATATGGAAGTATAGCATCTAATCAAGGAGTCAGGAAAAGACTTTGATGCGGGGAAAGATTGAAGGTAAAAGGAGAAGGGGGCAAAAGAGGATGAGATGGTTAGATAGCATGACTGACTCGAGGGACATGAATTTGAGCAAACTCCAGGAGATAGTGAAGGACAGGGAAACCTGGCGTGCTGCAGTATATGGGGTTGCAAAAAGTTGGACATGACTTAGTGACTGAATAACAAAATAGCCTCTTACTATAACAGCCTCTTATTGAAATTTACCAGCTTCACTCCACATATAAACAGGGCTTCAGGGACATCTTTGTGTATCTATCTATATCTAATTATATGAGTTTATCTGCAGGATAAATTCCCAGCAATGCAATTTGCTAAGTTAGCACGCACATTTAAAATGGATAGATATTGCTAAACAGTCCTCTAAAGACACTGTCGACTTAAATTTCTAATGGACACATAGAAGACTACATGTATTTTAAGCTGTGCTAAGCCAGAGTTGCAAGAAGCAAGACACAATGGGGCTTTTAGAACCAGAAATGGCCAGTTCTCTCTATCCTCAAAGCATCCTCCGTGGGAGCCACCAGGCCTCTTGCTGACCAAGTTCTCTTGGTAGGGAGGAAAAATTAATTAGCATTGATAATTGTAAGAACTTCCTTCTGGAGGTACTTTAAAAACAGTGTTCAAATGAGGTAGGCAGATGTCAAAAAGGGGTGCAGCTGTGGCGAAGCCACATAAGGACAAGTCTGTGCAAGGAAGCCAAGCAAGGATGAGACTTTCTGCTTGGATCAGGTGTCAGATCTGGGTTCAATTCTTGGCTCCAAATTTTACAAGCAAAAGCCTTTACTTTCTGGGACCTCCATAGCCTTATAGGAATAATCAATAATGCCTACCTCATCGAACACTTAGAAAACATAGCAAGATGGTATATATAAAATAAATAGTCTAGCTCGATGTCCCATGAATAGAAAGGGGAATAGAGGCTTCCCAGGTGGCGCTAGTGGTAAAGAACCCACCTGCCAATGCAGGAGATATAAGAGATGCCGGTTTGATCCCTGGGTCGGAAAGAATCCCTGGAAGAGGGCATGGCAACCCACTCCAGTATTCTTGCCTGGAGAATCACATGGACAGAGGAGCCTGGTGGCTATGGTCCATAGGTCTGCAAAGAGTCAGACACAGCTGAGCAACTTAGCACACATAGCACAGTGATAATAGTGCCTGTTATTAATAAGAGTCTCGGTTGCCCATGGTGACAGTTGCCTGGAGATCTGGGGCATCTGGGGGCCCAGCCCCTCCCCCTGCTTCCCTCTGCACACTGACTCCTCCCTCACCTGGACCAGCTCTTGACCTAGTTTCTTCTCTGCAGAGG